GAAGCTTGCAGAAGATAATCAGTGAATGTGCAGCTACTACTCGTTCAGTTTTGAAAACAATCCAATTTTAAATGGCTGACAGACAATTAAAATGAGCCAAAACAAAAGGACTATAATTCAGTCAGTTATACAGTTACTAAGCCAAAATTTAACAGGGTTGTTACTTGGAGTTATAATTACATCTTGCGATATTGCATAAGACTATAGAAACTTCATTTACAAGCTTTGATCAAAACAACAAAGAAGAAGATTTTGATTGTTTTACAAAACTTTATTTACACAATAAGTTAACATCAGGACAAGGTTCAGATAAAATAGTTACACGAGGAGCTTGTTGCATTGTAGTTGTCCCTGATCAGAAATGGTGCATACAACCTTAAATCCCCAGTTTCACAAAGTTCCCCAGTGTCTCTGTGGAAGCAAAACTCCAGCACCAGTCTGGGCTTGACGCTGCACCTCCACAGAGCCACGGCATCAAGCTGAGGTCCAGCTGCATTCTGTCCCTGCGAGACAATTAAACAGACATCTTTGCTTCGGCAACTAAAAAGTTTAAAGTTTGGGATTTAAACTTGGTGGCGTTGCTGTGATGTGCTCCATTAATAAAAACAGATTTGGTGAAAACTGTGTCAGAAAGGCTAAAGATCCTCGTCCATAGATTAAACAGAGCCATCAGCCGTGCGCGGTTTGTAAAAACATGAAAAACACTCAGACAAACTGCAGAAAGGTCACTTGTTTAAAACATCAGGACTGATGACCGACAAAAAAGAATGTGTTGCAATGGCGCCATGAAGGATCCTCCATTGAAGAACGCCGGTCCGTTTTTTGTCGGAGTTTTGTAAAGGGTCCTCCACTGGGGCTTCTGACCTCCAAGCTTGTTGTCCCTCACACTAACAGCTCTGTTGTACAGAGTTCTCTTGTCCAGGATCAAGAAGAAGGAAGATCTTTAACTCAATCATTTTTCATTTACGTAACTTGATCTTAGTATAGATCCCAGGCGTGAACAGTAACGGGGAATATTCATTCTAGGCCTTTCATGTCTTAAGGTTTTGCTCTGACTGTAACACTTTCAAGTTTTGGACTTGTTTGTTGATTGAACTGAATTATGTTTGACAGTAATTAGGATTAGAGTGAGAGTTTTGTTAAGGATCATGTGGTTGGTGTTGAGGATCTGTGTTACCAAGGAAAGGCATGTGTTGACATGCTGCTGTGAAAATACCTTTGAGCTCATGTTAACTCCTATGGTTAGGCCTAACGGTGCTCTTTGAGTTTTGCTGTTTGGGTTTTTTCAGGGTAGCTCTGTCCCAATGGTTGGAACAATCAACCACCAAGAAAAGTGAGTTCATGATCCTCTACATAGTCGATTAGTTCAAAGACTCTTACAAGGCTTTATTTCTCGTTCAGGTCTGAGATGACACTGGTGGATTCCGGTTCCGTGCTCAGGTCAGAATGTCCATTAAGAGAGAAGGCAGTGCTTCGGGGTTGAGAGCAGGCAGTCTGGAAGTGGAAGGCTGAGTCCGGTTAACCAGGTTTAATCCTTTGTTGCAGGAGGAGTAGACGATCATCAGATGTGATAGTGTTAACGTATTAGTTTTTATATAAGAATGTTTCTGTTCAGTGCCCTGAGACGACGTCTGTTGTGACTTGGTGCTTTATAAATAAACTGAATTGAATTGAATAGAGGAGATAGGTAATCCAAGCACCACTCAAGTAGATTTGTGGAACACAAGGTAAGTTTAGCCTTCTAAATTCACAAGGGAAGCACAAGTTGTCTGTTAATAACTAAAGGTGACTAATGATCAAACTGTTAACAGTGGAGTGACTCAGCCTCATGAAGGATGGATGATCAGATGTCATTGGTCACAGCTGGGCTCAACCAGCTCTGACTGCTCACAACATCAGCAGGAACACAAGAGACAGACAGAGGCAACCTGGACAGACAATCCTAACAGAGTGTTAGAAGTGTGTGAATGGATAAATGAGGTCATCGATTGGATTGCACCTTGACTAGCCTGGTTGTTTAGCAAGTTGCTATAGAAAGACAGTCCTTTTTATTATTTGTTTCTCATAGTTTCCTGAAGTTTAGAGATCGTTTAGTCTATAGTGCTTTAGGCAGGGAGCATGTCTGTGGTAATCGGGGTGGGGGATTTATTCACCAGTGACTGGTTGCTTCTTCATGCCTGCGATCCTTATTTTAAAAGTACGACTGCTAGTACCTCAGGGTGCCTTGAAGTCCCTGCTCGAAAATAACATGCCCCAATGAAAGTGACTGTTTCTCAGCAATTACTAACTCTGTTTAAATCATGTTGGTATCAAAATAAAGCCGTATTAGAGATTTCATCAGTAGTGTAAGCATCATAGCAGATGCTATTGTTTCACAGAAAATAAGGATGCAACGTTCTCCCTCACCCGTTTGTTCTGCATTATAGAGAATATAACCCATTTGAAAACATGCTGCAGGAGACCAGAAACAAAAGGAAACCACGAAGCCACATTTACATCTTACATGTGCAAAGATTCATGCTGCTGAAGTTAAGAAGAGCAAAGTCCCCAATCCTCCCTGTTTGAGGAAATTTCTCAAATACTTATGCTGTCAAAGTTTATTTAATAAAAGATGCATGAACAACAATGGTGTGAACATTGATGCTACATAAAATATGATTTTACCTAAAAATAACAGAATGTGATTAACTTCATCATTTCAAAGGATGTGTGCGCCCACGTCCTGAGGAAACAAAGAAAAACCCTGCGGCTATCATACGCAGGAAAATGTTCTCTCTGGAAAGAACGCCTCCAACTCTCCCACCATTTCATCCATCTGGCAAGAAGCAAGGGCACTCGTTCAACTCCTGTGACTAGTGCCCTTCTCCATTAGTAACGGTACAGCACGGCTCGACTCGACTCGGCACGGTTAGTAATGGTTCGTGGAACCGGTCCCTTTTTTCAGTACCCATTTCTCTGGGGCTCCAACCGTGCCGAACTGGCACCAAAACGTGACGTCGGTGACCCCCACAACCCGGAAAGGAAGAAGTGAGTAAAGATAATGGATGGAGTCAGAAGTTTTGAGCATGAACTTTGCAGTTAGAAGTTACTTTTCGTAGTGGGATGGCCTCACTAGAGTTGAAGCGCACGTTAGTAAAAACTGGTTACCAGCATTTGTGTGAGCTAAAGGACCAACACAATCATATTAAGCTAGAACTCGGTGTGAAAGTGGCCAAGAGTCATCACATAACCTGTGCACCAACAGATCTTGCATAATCTTTCATTAGCGCATGAGACTGTGCACAACATCTACAACGTTGGGCCAAAATGGCTGTGACTCTATTGTACTTTACTCTGGCGTATAAGACAGTGGGTGTTGTGCATTCCTTCAAGAAGCCTTTATTTATTCACGTGACTCGAGTGTGGCTTCATTTTCAGCCTGTGCAGCTGAGCTTCCGTCCTGTACCGTACACGAGCTTCAGATGCTGCTGCGGTCTCTGTTCTAACGCCCTGGCCCTCGCAGCTTTTTGTTTGGCAGAGAATAATGCACGCGGGGCAGCAGCCAGTATCTGCCTTCTCATCAAGCAGCCGCAGAACATCAGTCGGTGAGGCAGCAACTTTAGGCTGAATATAAAATGAGACTACAGCTGGTGTAATTAGAGCACATTCCTGAGCTGCAGATTGAAACTGAAATAGTTTCTGGAATGAAGCAGCTTTTTGTCTCTGCAGAGGATTACAGGGTACCAGCTGACTGGGACTTCTAATTTCACGGGCTATTTGTGTGGAGGCTGGCAGGTCCAAAGCAGAAGCGAAAGCATGTTCCACATGTGGGTAGCTCCCAAGACCCAGCTGGTCTGACAGGGAGGTGGATGGAGGAGGAGGAAGAGGGCTGTGAGAGGAGAACTTTGGCACGGACCTTCAAAAGGAGCAGCAGTTTGGGAGAAACGGGTCAGAAGCTGCGACACTTCCCAACTGTAATGATGGAGGTTTCATCAGGCGTCAGAAGCTTTTGGCTCCTTGTGGTGACAATAATGACGAGTCTGCATCAGTTCCATGGGTCATCTGCACAGGTGAGTACAGGTGGCTGCTAACCTCAACCTTTCAGGTTAGAAACAGGTAAACAGCTAAAATGTGAAATCTTTAAAAAGTTAACATGTTTTAGAAAATGTTTCAGTTTCTTTTACAAGTTTAATTTAACTAATCTATTTTCTCCATTTTTCTAAACAAACACTGAACTCCTGATGCATGCTCAATAATCCAGGTAGAAAAATCTAAAAAAGTTAAATCTGGCCCTCTGGACATTCAAAAAGAATTAAAAACAGACAGTGCCTTCAATTGTAAGGCAATAAAACATCCTTCGAATGAATAAAACGTTGTGATAGTTAAACTTTTTGGGCGATATCTTCACAAGAAATGACGGGTTGTGACGGGTTACAAATTTTTCGCATGAAGTAATTCACAATCTTGGATTTTAAAACGCTTACCTTTAAATTAAGATACATGACCTTTGGAATCCCTTGAAATATTTTTCAAGATATTTCAAATTAAATTACCCGTTTTGAACTAAGCTTTGGGAAAGTTTTATTGTAACAGTCACGTTTTTGCCGATGTTTTGTAGGTCTGAAGATGAATAACTTGTGAACGAGGTCATCACACACGTACTCATTGTTCCAGTTACCTGTTTTTACAAGCTGTGGTGAATTTGGTGTCCCACCCACTTTGAGCCAGGCCCACCTGCGCAGCCGCAGCACCTGTCCTCTAATGTCTTTACTGTCCCCTCAGGAGTGTCCGTCCACTCACGACCTGCTGAACTCACTGAAGCAGGTGGAGAAGATGCTGGAGCTCCATGAGACATCGTACCAGCAGGGTCTGCGCTCCCTCAGGAAGAAGATCAACACTCTGCACAACCGCACCATGGCCGTCTTAAAAATCGGCAAAAACGGTGAGGGACCCTGAATCTTTGGGTGGGTGGGTGGGTGGGTGGGTGATGGATGGATGAATGATGGGTAGATGAATGGATGGATGGACGGATGGATAAATGAATGGACAGATGGATAGATAAACAGATGGATGACAGATGGCTAGATGGATGGATGGATAGATGAATGGATGGATGAATGATGGATAAATGGACAGATGGATACAGTAGATGAATGGACAAATGGATGGACAGATGGATATATGAATGATAGATAGATGGATGGATGGATGGATGGATGGATGGATGGATGGATGGATGGATGGATGGATGGATGGAGAAATGAATGGACAAATGGATAGACGGATGGCAGATGGCTAGATGGATAGATGGATGGATGGATGGATGGATGAATGGATGAATGGATGGATGGATTAATTATGGATAAATGGACAGATGGATACAGTAGATGAAAGGACAGATGGATGGACAGATGGATACAGTAGATGAAAGGACAGATGGATGGACAGATGGATACAGTAGATGAAAGAACAGATGGATGGACAGATGGATATATGAATGATAGATGGATGGATTGATTGATTGGATGGATGGATGGATGTATGGATGGATGGATAAATGAATGGACAGATGGATAGATAGACGGATGGATGACAGATGGCTAGATGGATGGATGGATGGATGGATGGATGGATGAATGATGGATAAATGGACAGATGGATACAGTAGATGAAAGGACAGATGGATGGACAGATGGATACAGTAGATGAAAGGACAGATGGATGGACAGATGGATATATGAATGATAGATGGATGGATTGATTGATTGGATGGATGGATGGATGTATGGATGGATGGATAAATGAATGGACAGATGGATAGATAGACGGATGGATGACAGATGGATAGATGAATGGACGGATGGATGGACAGACAAGGTAACAAGCAGAAGTTCTTCTTGTAGTGAAACCTCTGAGCCATCCCTTTCTCCAGAATCCTGCCCCAGACCTGAACTCCCGGCTCATGGGCGTAGACTGGGCAGGGTGTTTGATGTGGGACACGAGGTCCACTTCCTGTGTAAGCCTGGCTACGAGCTGATCGGCCCACGGACTCGTGTGTGTCTGGACTCTTTGAAGTGGAGCGGTCAGCAGCCCATGTGCAGACGTGAGGACAACAATTAGATCTACGTTCGTGGCATCCCTGACGTCCAGCATCACCTTTTGCTTTGTTTTCCTCCTCAGGCCAGAACAGCTCCTTGGCTTTGCTGTCCTCACCTTCTTCATCCTTCACTGTTTCTGCTGCTTTTACTTCCTCCTCCTTAGCATCTTTACCTTCTCCACTTTCACCTCCAACATCTTCCTCCCCTTCCTCCTCCATACGACCCTCCAACTGCACACATTTCCTGGACTCAACACACTGCACGTGTGACGTTGGTTTCACCATATCAGGAAGAGACAACAACATCTGCACAGGTAGATAGAAACAATCTGTAGCGTGGAATTTTGGAACGGTCATCTCCACAGCAGAACGAGTGATTGTGTCTATCAAAGTGTATCATGTGAAGTTCAGACATCGTGCTGTGTGCTTCAGATATCGATGAGTGCCATCTCTTCCCCCTGGGTCAGCCGGGTCGGCTCTGCATCCATCAGTGCGTCAACACTCCTGGCAGCTTCCACTGCATCTGTCCACCCGGGTACAGCCTGGCCACAGATGGTCGCAGCTGCACAGGTCAGCTTCAGAGACCAGCCTACATCCAGGGCAGGCAGGAGAATTTTGGATTGCATCTCTCATCACTGACCTTTCACTTTTAGACAAGGATGAGTGTGAAAACCAAATGCACAACTGCACAGCAGACCAGCTGTGTGTGAACACCTTCGGGGGTTTCCAGTGCGTGACGGTGGAGTGTCCAAAAGTGAACAATGCCACATTCATCAAGACGTCTCCCATGTAAGAATATAAAACACGGAGGTCTTACCTCTTAAAATGTCCTTTACTCTTCTTTTGGCTGTTCTCAGATCTGTTCATTTCTTTTCTTACCAAAGAGTGAAAGTTAATGTCGTCTTTGCTACAACTTACATTTCTACAACAGCTCTGGAGGAAACATTTGTGCTTTAGAGGGATCATAATCCTACTGCATAATCAGCAGCTTTCATTTTGAACAAATTGATAGCCATTTTATACAGACAGGGCGCAAACCAGTTCTAATCTTGTATCAGTATAAACACCAAGGGCCTCATGTACAAAGACGTGCAGATTTCCTACTGAAACATATACAGTATATACAACGGCACTTGGGAGTAGCAGGTGGCCCTTTTTGTGTGGTGCAAGTGTCACAGCAGTGGACAAACATCTCTATTCTGTTGTCATCCTGGCCAATAAAACCGTCCCCGAAACCAATTAAGAGTCTTGTAAATGCCAAAGTACTTGGTCTTGAAGTCACTTGTGTGTTGAGTAATTGCAGGGTCTGTTGCTATCCACTTGGTGCCACCCACCATCAAAAGAGCAGACCATGTTGAAGCTGGAGGCTCTGCCACTGGGAGTGCAGCACCTTGGTTTCTTTGTTGAGTGCTGATACCTCTGCCCACGCTGGTCATTGCCCAGACTCCATCAAAGCATGAACCTGGCATGAACTGGGTCTTGACGCTGGAGCTGCTGGAGCTGCTGGAGCTGCTGGAGTTGCTGAGGGCAGAGGCTCTTCACTTCCTTGATGCTAATTCCATCTTCTGGCTGATGGATGGCCCTTATGTGGTTGAGTGACTTCTCCTCAGCCCAATGACGGTGTCTGCAACTCCCTGTGCATGATCACCTGGAGAAGGCATCTGTGTTGGAGTGTAGGCAGCCAGCAAAGTTGTACTCCTGCAGCACTTAAATCCACTTGGCTAGCTGTCCTTCTGGTTCTTTAAAGTTCAGCAGCCAGGTTAGTGATGCGTGATCAGTGTGCAGAACAAACTTATGTCCATAGAGGTAGGGGCGGAAGTGGTGAAGACCCAGGACCACAGCCATCAGATCACGACTTGTGAAGCAGTAGTTGCACTCTGGTCTGTTGAGCACACGGTTGTAGTGTGGCACCACCTGCTTGCCATGTCCCCCATCCTGTGAGAGCTCTGCACCTACTCCCACATTGCTAGCATCTGTGTCATTTATGAAGGGGGAGTCAGAATCAGGGTATGCAAGCACCAGGGTTTCTCTCAATGTGCTGCCGAGCTGATTAAAATTGATGGCACATTCATCTGTCCATTGAAACACTTTCTGGGTGAGCTAATGTAGTGGGCTGGCAAAGCTCCTGCGGTAGTAGGTTTGACACGGTGTGAATTGTTTTGATCCTGTGTGTAGTCTACAGTGTTGGCCATTTAGCGATTATCTGCTGCTATTTGTATCTATATTTTTTATTTTATGTTTTCCTGTCCGCTGTGCTTGTTTGTTTCTATTGTACAGCACTTTGGTTGGCCTTGTTGCTGTTTTAAGTGCTCTATAAATAAATTGGTATGGTATGGCATGGTATGGTAGTAGGAAGCCAGACCAAGGAAACTGCATGTTTTTTTCGGTGTTGGCCACTCACAGACAGTCAGCTGTCACTTTTTCTGGATCAGTGGCCATACCCTCCCCCCAACTTCATGTCCCAGGAAGGTGATCTCACAGTGGAACAGGTGGCACTTTTTGGACTGAACCACAAACCTGTCCACCACACAGCCTGGAACATGTTTCGCAGGTTTTGAAGTGCCCCTTGGAAGTTGTCAGTGTGGACCAGGATGTTGTCTAGGTAGACTACACAGTGATTTTGTGGGATGCCTACCAGCATCCTGTCCATCAGCTGTTCGAAGGAGGCTGGGGCATTACAGAGTCCAAATGGCATCACCTTGAAATGCCACAGCCCCTGGCAAATGGTGAAAACAGTCTTGGGTCATGCCTCCTTAGTTAAATCCACCTTCCAATAGCCACTGCGGAGGTCAAGTGAGCTGAACCATGTCAAACCGGCAATGTAATCCAGCGCATCGTCAATTCTAGGAAGAGGGTACGAGTCTTTTGTGTGACATCATTGAGGCGCCTGTAGTCAAAAGGTCTTAAAGGTCTCCTTCTTTATGCATTTGCATCTGCATTTTTACTGTAGTTTATTGTTGTCATTGTTTACTGGTATTGTTGTCTGTACTTTATATGTTGTGTCTGAAACAGGTGGTTCTTGTAAATGAGTCCTCGTGGCTCAATGAGGCTAGCCTGTATAAAGGTTGAATGAAAAAAAAAATAGCTTAATGGTCTCCATTCCTAATGGTATCCACCGACGAGTCTTTTAGTCATGGTGTGACAAGCACCAATGACCTTCAGACCACAGCTCCTGAAAACCACATCTGCCCTGATGCAGATACACTTTTTGACCACTTTATGCTCCAAATGGCTTTCTTTATAGACAGCCCATGCCTAGCACTGAGGCCCAATAACAGAAAACCGCTCAGGTTTACATCAGGGTGACAGTTCCTCCCAACTACCCCCTTCCAGATAACTCATATCTGTAATTCATATCTGTAACAACAGTCAAAACTTTTGCGTTGTGTGAACAATGCAGTTCACACAACGATAAGAGAATTAGCGCAAATTATTTCTCTGTTGTAAAATCCCGTCCTCACATCTGACATTTTGAATTAATTCTGTGTTTATACCAGTCAGATTGAATAAGTATGAAGAAGTCATATTAGCTGCTTTAGGTGGGAGGGTACCAGTAGAGAAAACTTACATGGGAGAAGGTTTTATTTTAGAGTCTGTTACATGGTGATGGACCCAGAGTTCTTTTTCTGTTAAAGAAAACTAAAAGTTCACTAGCAAAAGCCACTGTCTGGAATAACCCCCTGGAGCCATCCAGATGGATACAAACTGCTGAGTCTGTGATAAATGTTTTCTGGGCAGGACAGATACACCCTCGCACTAACAGAAGCTAGCATACATTCGGGTTTAAAATAAACACATAAAATCAGGAATCTGTAGTGACAATGGAACAGCAAACACACAGAGCAGAGAGAGAATGAAAACCAGAAAGCTCTTATCTCGGAGCCCTGTAATTTGAAAACAATGAGTTGAACCTGAAAGTGAGCCACTTCCCTTCTCTGCCTGTGATTTAGTTGCTATCACACAGAAACTGAGGTTTGCCCTGACATGAACCGTACAGTTTTCAGGCTCCAGTCAAATTTTTTGGTCAAGAAACGAAGCTTGATGGAACCAAACATGTTTACCAATTTTAGATTTTTCTTTTATTCAGTAATAAATTATGTCATTTCAATTCTATTGCAATGGGTAAAAGACAGTCATAGGGTACATAATGACAACATGGATGGAGAGAGTAAGGGATGTATGTATATATGGACATGTCTGCACATTATATATATAGCCTGTAGTTTACAATCTTACATTTATTTCGCAAATGTTTTGGACAAACCCATAAGACTGGATCCCGTCTAAATTCAGTTCGTAACCAATCTTGTCAACTCAACGTTTGTAATTTGCACAATAAGGAAACACGTCATCCCTAATACATGAAGCTGTTTGCTGCCTACAACAAATGCCAAACAATATATAAAATAACACCGGTAATAATAAAGTGCTATGTGTTGCCATCATTGTATGTTCCATACAAAGGCAAAATTAGTTCTCTGCATTTAACCCATCACACCTGGGATATATCCAGGTGGAGCAGTGGGCAGCTATGTAAGCACCCGGGGAGCAATTGTTGGATTAGGTGTCTTGCTCAGAGACACAACGACATGTGTGAATGGCTGGGGATCAAACCTGGGACTTTCGGGTCCCAAGTCGGCTGCTCTGCCTCTAGCCCATCTATATATAAAATATGTAAGAGGAAATGTTTATATTATATTAGGTGGCCTTTTACTAAGGTCATGTACACAGTATACTGTGTACTTTTACTAAGGTCATGTACACAGTATACTGTGTACTTTTACTAAGGTCATGTACACAGTATACTGTGTACTTTTACTAAGGTCATGTACACAGTATACTGTGTACTTTTACTAAAGTCATGTACACAGTATACTGTGTACTTTTACTAAAGTCATGTACACAGTATACTGTGTACTTTTACTAAAGTCATGTACACA